ACACACACACACACACACACACACACACACACACACACACAGCCAGCTGACCTTGTACCGCAGAGTTTCCATGGCGATGCACTAAATGCGAACAAAGGTACGGTGCATCTATTATTTTCCTCATGAATATGAACTCTAAATGTTCTTATTCATCTTTCAAAACAAGTTTTCTTCAGGGCTTCTTTTTTATTTTATTTATTCTATATAAATAAATGTATTAATGCTGTAATACATAAATTAGGTAAATTAAACGGTGATAAAAAAGGATTTTATTCCATTTTAAAATTATATAAGTATACAAACACTAAAAGTAAATAAAAAAAAGGATGGCACAATGTGAAAACAACCGTTACCTGGTCTAGTTTCTGCTCTTTATGATACAAAATGTTCGTAATGTGTTTCTGTCCCTGTGTGATAATTCACAGATACGTTTACAACACATATGTGTGAGGCTAAAGTCATTAGGCCACAAGCTGTGAAGTGATAAAAGTGTGTATCTGTGTGTATTTGAGGTGGGGGGGGGGGGTAAAGTGAAGGATCATCTGTGTTCAGGATGATAGCTCCCTGCAGGTTTCTTCATCTCTGCAGCCATCCGTCTAATTTCCAGCCCAGATGGCTGTGATTACTTTGGGAGGAGAAATACCTGAGAAGGTTTAGATTACATCTCTCTGTATGTGAACTTACTTTAAAGTGTCTCATCGTTCCTAATGGGCTACACCCCACCCCCTGAAACTTTACAAACTAATCAGTTCACTGAAACCAATATTTTTTTTAAATTCTGTTTCAAGTAGGGCTAGTATTGCCAATACCTTTTACTTYAAATGTCATGACCATTAAATAATTGTGTGATTTTGTCTTTAGCTAGTTGATTGTGATAAAACTCAGGTATGGCAAATAAAAAAAAAGTTCTTAACTGCAACAATGTAAAATCATGTACCATTATAAAAACAAAGTAATTCTATTAGCTCCTACTACACACATTTGTTCAAGAAAAATGTCACTAAAACAATATAACAAAAAGCAATAATACAACAAAAATKCAAATATAAAAAGTGTCGACAAAAGYACYAAAATACCRTCCACTGCARGCAGATATRGTGAAAACTAAAGTCAGTAGAGCAAACAAAGGGATAAAGAGAAAGTGAAAAATTGAGACATACAGAAAAGAAAACTGCAACAAAAGCATTGATCTCATCATGCTAGTATTAATCAGATATCAGTCCTCATCCTGGTTTCTGTAGTAATGATGTTTAGATTGACCCKTAGTTTCAAGAGGCARAGCAGAGCAGTGGTCAGAGCWGTTYTCTCACAGGGAGAAGGTCACAGGCTCGCCTCCAGGCCTGAAGTCTTTCTAGGTGGAGTTTGCATCTTCCTTCRGTACAAGTGTGGGTTGAGATCTTCTGGCACCGTGGAACACGTTTCCTCTGGATACTCAGGTTTCCTCCCACAGGTTAGGTTCTGGATTAATAGATTGGAGCTTTTTCTGCYGTAAAGAGGATGTGGCTCTGGTCAGGTGTGGTGAAGAAGGAGACAAKTGGAAAGAGAAGATCTCCATATGAGGCATCTCTAAATTGTCCCTAGGTGTGGGTGAGAGTGGTTGTTCCCGTGATGACCTTGCGACCTGTACCTGCCTCTGGCATAATGATTACAGTGAAAATAAAACCCCAATTCCAATGAAGTTGGGACATTGTGGATTTATCCACACATGGAATGATGTTGTTTTTTAACGCAGTGGGATGGAAGGTCTCCAGCGTTCAATGATGATTTTCAGCCTTGCCGCTTACTTGCAGCGATTTGTCCAGATTCTCTGAATCTTTTGATGATATTATGGACTGTAGATGATGAAATCCCTAAATTCTTTACAAATGTACGTTGAGAAACGTTGTTTTTAAATTCTTGGACTGTTTGTGCACYCAGTTGTTCACAAAATGGTGAACCTCAGGGGCGGTTCTAGGGGTGGGGCCACAGGGGCACTGACCCCAGGTGAAATCTGATTGGCCCCCTGAAGTGCCCCTGTCCTGTCACTCATCTGTTCTTCACCAGGGAGTGATGATGATGGTGGATGCAGTTCCATGTTCAACCACTAGTTGCGCTAATGAGTCAAATGGTAAAGTCCAGAATGAATCATGCTTACAGAATTCTTCTCTTCTTAAGAAAATTTGAACAAACCTGTAAAAAAAAATCTTTCAACTGACAAATGATGGCTGGATTTTCTCACTTGTGTGTTGGAGAATATTTTATTTATTTACATTAAAATGTATGAAAAACTGCTAAGGACAATTTACTGTGCAAGCTTTTTTTGGTACCACTTTAGGCTTCCCTTATAGATGACTTATAAAGAGTTTACATATAGGTTACTAATTCATCTGTAAACACTTTATAAATCATTAATAAATGTTTATTATGCAATAATAAAGGATGAGAAAGAGACAAAACTGTTTGGTTTCTTACCATATAATGAGACAAATCTGTTCACACATATATTACATCTAAAGGTGCTTTTTAAACATTTTACACAAGGTTACTACATTGTAAGTACAATAACGATAAGAAACACATATTTTAACAAATTATTATTGTACTATATTACTGCATTATAAAAATTCACCACTGTCAAAGGGAGACTTATCGTAAAGTGTYATACAGTACACTATTTATTAATGASAAATAAACATTTATAAATGTCAAAAGTTAGTCTTTAATGTAAAATATCATCATTTTTAAAACTTAGTGTTGATAATCAATATTTTAAACTACTGTTTAAACGTGTAACTACTGTCAACAATGATGATGTATCAAAAAAGTAAAATAAAAAAGTCAACACAGCAAATAATCCCACCCCATCCAAAATAGTGTACAGTTTTACACTGTACAATAAGGATCCCTTTCATAATTGTGGATATTTATAATGCAGTAATACAGTGCAATATTATATGTTAAAATATGTGTTTCCTAATCATTTTTGTGCTTACAAGGTAGAAGACTTGGCCACTCTATGAATATTGTGGCCCCTTGATGGCCCCTCACTCAGAAAAATCCTAGATCCGCCACTGACCTCACCCCATTATTGCTTGTGAACGTCTGAGCCTTTCAGGAATGTTCTCTTTTGACCAAATCATGACACTCACCTGTTTCCAATGAACCTGTTCACCTTTGGAATTCTTCAAACAGGTGCTTTTTGATCATTTTTCAACTTTCCCAGGACACCAATGACCCCAGCGACCCTGAAAGAAAGAAGCAGGCAAAGAGGATGGATGGATGGATGGATGGATGATCTAACAATCAGCAGCCAGGTTTTTGATGGGACTTTCTATAGCTGCAGTTAACCACATAAAATAAATATGAGGTAGATTTTATACTAAAAGAGAGAAAAAAAATCAGTCGTGTTTAATGTCACCATGTTGTTGGATGARTGAATCTTCTTAGCTTCAATGTAAAAAACTGTAGCAGTTCAATAAAATTACAACCAATTTATTTTTAATGTGAGTTTAGTCCTTTGTTGTGGACATCCAACACACTCTTTTGGTCACTTGTGAAAATTAAACCTGGTGTCTGATGCATCTCATGCTGCATTTTAACCTACACAAAAACAGACTGTTTTTATGACACTCTCACACTGAGTCAATTTAGTTTGATTCAGTCATCGAGGAAGTGAAAGCTTGTAAAACAAAACAACCTCACATCAGTGGGAAAATYTCAAGTTATGTTCCATCTGCAAATAACAGCAAACATTACTTTAAAAATCACTGTGGCCTCTATAAAATAAGTCCAAAATGGAAGGTTTGGGCATAATGTACTATATATGTATGACTGGAGAGAAGAYCTGACATGTTTGACATGACAGCAGCATGATTTGAGGCACAGAGGGTAAATGATGCTAAACTACTTAAAATGTCCCAGCTAATCATTGCTCATCTTTAATCTTTGGTTACAAAGGTCCAGGCAAACACAAGTGGGACATCATAATTGTGACACTTATTCTCCCTTGGTTTCACCCTGCTTAATTAAAGCCTTCAGAATTTTGCGTTTTCTAATTGATTTTGTCTAAAAGTTAAAAAAAATAATTTATCAGATTGTCTCTTTATTCCTGTTGTGAAGCTTGTTTTATTAAAATAAATAATTTCACGCATCTTACATCTCTAATTGTTCAGCTCTTTGAACTTTGAGTCATTCCGCACAAATAGGACAGAGCTACAGTAAGACCTTATTTTTTTTCTTTAAGTTTGCCGCATTTAGAAAACAGGAGAAAAGTCACCCCATGCCACGATTAGAGGCACCCCCATACCATCACAGATGCTGGTTTTTGCACATTCGGCTGATAACAGCCGGGGCAGCCGTTCTCCTCTTCACACGTTTCTTGTTTCAGCTTGTTTTCCCAAAGGCAAACTGAAGCTTGGACTAATYGCACAAACGACACATCTCTTTGTGTTTCTATCCATAAATTGATCAGATCCTCCAAAGYTCATCCTGAATCCTGAATCTTTTGATAGTTTTGTTTTATTGTTTACTTGTTTGTAGAACTGATCAATTCTCAGAAATGAACTCAACCCATCCTTGGTTACAAAAACTAAAATTTCTGACTTTTATGCTGAAGCTGAATTGTTCTTACAGGACTAACATAAAGACCGTGCACTCAAATCTTGGTTGGTGTGGAGATGTGTGTTTTTGCTCCTGTGATCTCACCTGGCAGATTGCTGATTGGCGTGGGCGGAGTCTTCACT